CCGTCCGCCCCGGTAGTACTACCTCCATCCCTGTGGTTGTTCTGAGCAGAAGCATCGCAGATAACCCTCCAACACCCTATTTTTAGACCTCAGTCTGTCCATCGGATTCGGATGATAGGCGTTTGTGCTCATCTTTAGTTGATTTCCTTGTAATTTTTTAAACAACTCCTTCCGAAATTACTCAGGAACAGTGGATCTCGGTCACTTACGATAGATACTGGCACTCCATGCAACCAGACGATCTCCTTTAGAAACACTGTAGCTACTGTTCGAGCGGAATAGGGATGTTTCAGTGGTATGAAATGTCCATATTTGCTGAGACGGTCTACCACTACTAGCACAGCATCATACCCTTGGGACTTGGGTAACTTAACAATAAAATCCATGCTTATCTCTTCCCCAGGCGTTTGGGAATGGGTAAAATGTTGCACGCATCCCTTGCGAAATGATGACAGATATTCTGTTGTTGAATACTACGCCAGCTTGCCACGAAGTCGATCACGGCTTTTCCCTTCATATCCTCAACCCAATAGAGAGATTGCGCACCACTTGCGATAATCCGATATACCCCTGAGTGTCCCTTCCCTTTTTGCGTGGTATGAAAACTCGTCTATTAACTTTGGGTACCCCCGAACCGGGCATACAGCACAAGCTCCCCCTATAAGTGTAACCTAACCTCCCGTGTTCCAACGTGAACGATGGATGGGAATTGTGGTCTCTCCTCTCCTCAATCTTCTTATCCACTTTTCTTTAATTCTTCCTCTGCCTCGACTTCTTCCAAATCTCCCCAAGTTTGCAGTAAGGTCGGGCTATCACCCTCAATTCCTTTTCTTCTGGGATCCTCCTCGTCCTCCCCTTCCGTATAGGGCGTCTGCTACTTTGGTTGGTGACACCGACTTGTACACGATCTTCAAGTCATACCCCATACCCCAGAAAGCTTTAGGGCAATCCAAATTCCCTGCTTGATTTGATGGTGATGCGTTGCTTCCAAAAGGTACTTCAGGCTCCTTTGATCGTGTGAACCACAAAACCTTTGTCATATGTGGGCCTCCAGTTTGTATGGCCAATCTAGCGCCTTAATCCTTCTCATATATAACTTACTCGTGACCTCCTCGGATAACGCTTTAATAAGAAAGCTCTGGGTTTCTTTCCTTGCAATGAGTACCACAGCTCCTATCCCTCTTCCCGATGCGTCACACTCAATGTGGAAAGATTGGTCAAAATCAGGTAGAGCCAGCACTGGGGCCGTAGTGATTGCCTTTTTTAACCTTGACATAGCGTCCTCTGCTTGTTCTGTCCATGCAAACTGCCCCTTTTTAAGAAGGTCGGTCAAGGGTTTGGCATCTTCCCATAGTCCTTCACAAACCTCCTATAGTATCATTATCGCTTTCCGTCCCGGAAATCCCCTCAAAGCCTTCACCGTCTTTAAGTTTTCTCTCTCTTCTCCCAGTCCAATCACGAGCTCTTACCTTGTCTTCGTCCATTTCTATCACCCCTCTCGGAAAATCGCTGACCCAAATAGCCTATTTGCGTTTTGTCCGAACTTCCACATTTCTTTCGGTTGGCCACCCCCCTGTTGGTCACGAGTTCCCCAGCACCGTCCCCACTGCTCTAAAGTGCTCCTTCCCAGGTTCACGGCTATACACCAATATAATCTCAAAGAACCACCGTACGAATTTCCGCGGTAAGGCTGATCAGGAAGCTGTTCATTGCACTCTTGGATTGGGGGTTGGTGCGTTGGTGAGGCCGAACGGCCAAATACCATGAACTCCGTATTGAACCCTTTTGGCGTCCGGAAAGCCGTTTTTCCCACCCCTCTCTTTCCCTCTATTCTCCTTCTCCCATTCATTTTGACTATTCAGCGTACGGTAACTCGCGCACGTTCCTGCCCTGTTGTTTTAGAACGTAACTTGCGCCTTCTCTCCTGGGGGTTCCTTTCCTTTCCCTCCTTCCGCCCCCTCCTTCGGGCCCGTTTCCCGTTACGGGTCTGATTGATCCGGCTGGGTCCGTCCATTGTTTACTACACCGCTCGGTTTTTCCCCCCACTCTGGCCCCGTTGCTTATGATTCCTCCCTATAGTCCTCTACGACTTCCTCTTCAGCTTTTGTGCCCCCTTGGACCTTCCAACTCCTTCCGCCAGTCTCATTATTCCTCAATTCCCTCGGGTCAGCAACCTGATTTGATTAATTACGGATCCCCTCCTGCAGCCTGCCATGGAAATATCCCCGTCGCTGTGCCTCGGGTATTTGTTCTGCTTGGCTGAACCAACACTTCAAATGTCTTGGCATCTATTCTTCCAACGGTTCCTAACTGTTTGCAGGCCGCCAGTCTCTCGAAGACCGTTCTCCCCGTTTCTGCCATCCGAACCTGATCACCAACGATTCCTTTAATCCATATCCCGCCCACGAACGGTTCCTGGCCTTCTCCCTCCAAAACCTGAACCAGTGCCCCGCGATTCCTTCCATGCTGATGTAGGCTAGGCGCAGCTTCTCTTCCTCCTACACTCCTTGTATTCAACAGAATTTGTCCGCTCTATAGATCCAATTCAACGGATCACTTGCCTTCGAATATGGGTAAGTCCACCCTTCTCCTCCAATGCGGTTGCTCCTCACGTTGTCCACCCTCTAAGCCGCTGCCATTTCTCTCGTCCTCCTCATTCCTTCTCCCGTTGACCGAACCCTGACTTCCTTCAAAGCTCCCCTCATGTCGTCGACCTCGCTCTCCCATCACCTTCACCAGTTTCCTGGACGGCTTGCCTCCAGTCCTCCCATGGAGATTTTCTATGACCTCCAATCTTCCTTCAATGACGTTCACTCTTCCCTCCCATGATGATCCGGACAGGTTGGACCAATTGTTACGTGCCTGAGTATGGGACGTAACTAGAATGCTCTCTTCACACACTCTCACAGGCAATGGACAATGAAAAAAATAGCTGAATGAACCTCTTTTATTAAATAGAATACTGGAATCACGAATTAAACAATACTGGGAGCAGGATCTCCGTCAGCCACTAGAGAGCATAACCTCCCTTAAAACTCAATAATCAAAAACATGTCTTTAACCCTAGTTCCTCCTCTATTAATACTAATTCTATCTCTCTTCCCAAAAGGGTCGAGAATAATAACTATTATTTATTAAATAATTGGCTGGTAGAATATATCTATCCTTATTTATTATTTATTGCGTATTTATTATAATTATCTGGTAAAGAATTTCCTCTATCTTATTTATTATATTTCCTTCTATATATTCTACTGTTGTCTTCGACGCTCGTCCGCGCTCAGGCCGCTCGCCTTGCTCTGCTCGTTCAGCCCTTGTTGCTTCCCACTCGCTCACGGACCCCGTCCTCGCCCCTCGTTGCTCCCACTCGCTCAGGGACGCTCGTCCTCGCCCCTCGTTGCTTCCACTCGCTCAGGACGCTCGTCCCCTCTCCCCTCGTTGCTTTCCACTCGACTCAGGACGCTCGTCCTCGTCCCGCTCGCTCAGCTCTCTTTCTCTTCCCCTTGTCGTTCGGCCATCAAGCTCCTCCCTTTCAACCGTTCGGCCATTGTCTTCTTCCGTACGGTCCCCTTCTCTCTCCCTCCTATATCTTCTTCTCTCGTAAACTCGCCAGGTCCTAACATAGGCTCACTTAGAAAAGTTTCACAATGTGAAGTATTACATAAAATTCTTTAGTCAAGAAGTCTATCGAATACACTCCACAACACACTTTCACCGAAAGAAGAAAAAGTATGTGTATTAATTCTGTAATCTCGAAATGCAATGTTCAAACTCCACTCTCAAGGGAGCACTCTCCCTCCACAGGAATAAATATCCTGTTTATAGAAAAGAATAAAAAAATAACTCCTTACAATATGATGGAATCCTACCTGACCTACCTTCCTCAGTGTTATTTTTTTTTTTACATTTTATTGTACATGCATTTTAGCTTTCTTGGAGCATGGGTTACTATAAATACCCATCTCCACCAATTTATTTTTAACTTTTGAGATTGATAAGAATTGAATTTTCTGAATCAGAAATTATTTCTCTTGAAAGTCAGGCTAGAGAGTCAAGGGACCACTTCTAGCCACCTTCCGAGCACACTCTTCCATTCTCATTCATTTTCCAATAGCTTTTCACTATGCTTCCATTAATTGCTTTCCTCCACGGTGCTCTCCTTCATCAATTTCCCTTCATATGCGTGGCGACACTTCATCACCCACATCTTTCTCTCAAATAAGAGGGTCTCTCCTTTGTAATTTTTCACTTTTGAGCTTTAGTGAAATGCTGCAGAATTTGATTCCAGCCCTATATTATCTTGAGTCACTCTTTCTCTTCACTTTCTCTACCCTTTCCTCTAGCTTCCTTCCATAGTAGGAAGGCTTTCTGAGCTGTGAGGTCTCCACACACACTCCTTCCATTAAAAACACACGAAACACCACTCATCTTCTTTCATTCCACTGCACCATCATTGCTTGCTGTTTGGAGTTGTTACTTGCGAGTTCCAATCCTAGGCATGCTTCCATCACAATAGCTCAAAACCTTCTTATAAGGTTCCCCCTACCAGACTAACTGTTAACTGAATAGCTAACAGTCTAACCACCCTATTAATTTTCTTCCTCCTCCCATACACTCTTAATACTCTATCAGAAGTATTACACAGTTTTTCTCTCAATCCCAAAAAGAACACTTCACAAGGTCTTTTGTGTACGGTATTGAGAGTTTATTATATAATACTTTACTTCACAAAGTCTTTTGTGTTCTTTCTTTCTTAACGAGAAACTTAAAATAAACAATGATTTTGTTTTAAAAGGAGTTTTTAGCTAAAAATGTCCAAACAAATAAATTTAAAACTTTTAATATTTAACTTTTAAGTCAAAAATTTGGTCCAAACATCACCTAGTTAACTTTTTTACTACCTGGTTTGGATGAGAACCTCTGATTTGCAATGCCTAATTTATGAGGTTTCTTACTTTAAATTAATGTGCGGATTGTTAATCTGAAGTTATTGGTTACAGGGATTTAAAAGAGAAATAAGGTTCACATCAAAATGCTCTGCCAATGAGATAATCAACAAGATTGAAGAAGTTGCAAAACCTCTTGGTTTTGATGTGCAGAAGAAAAATTTCAAGGTAAGCCAAGCTTGTGCAACTTATTATGTACATGCACTCGTTTAGTTCCATTCATGTTAATTTTCTTTAATTAAGAAATAGTCATTCACAGATGAAGCTTAAAAATGTGAAAGCTGGAAGGAAGGGAAACCTCAATGTTGCCACAGAGGTACATCGTTGCTATAGCCTCATTTCTCATAATATTGAATATTGATGTACTTGCATTTTAAACAGATATTTCAAGTGGCACCTTCTCTTCACGTGGTTAAGATTAATAAGGCAAAAGGTGATACATTGGAGTTCCTTAAGGTATCTTTGTCTCTCAATTCTCATTGAATTGATTTCTATAGTATCTCCTACATTTTAAATATAATTCTTCTGTTGTGAACTTTTGAAACCTTTATGACAACCACATAATCAAACTAAACTTGAATTTATGACAACCATTTTACCTTCTATTGTCTCTTTTCTGTATCTTTAGAAATAGTAATTCTGAAACGTAATCTTAGTGAAATAATATTTGTAATCTTCGACACCATGTAACCTGAGTGCTGATCAAACCATAACAAGAAGTTTTTGCTTAATAACATTCACAATGGTGTGGTTTTTAACACCCTTGTGTTCCTTCTAATTCTAATTGAAAATAATTTGCCTGTTTGACACTATGCAGTTCTACAACAAGCTTTCAACACGCTTGGAGGATGTTGTTTGGAAAACTGAAGATGACATGGACGATGCAAAGTGAAATTGATGTAACCAACAATGTTGTTTCTTGGTGTATAGCAATGTCGTAATATGTTCCATCGTCATCAGATTGTTGTCCACATTAACTTTGGTAGGTTTGGTTGGGCATATAGCAATGTTTTCCTTGTTGGAAAATCGAGTTTATGTCAATACTCTTCTAATGTTGAACTAAGTTCATTATACAATAAATATGGAAGACATTGTATATCTCCATTTTGTTAGTAACGATCTATTTCCCATTTATTGCTATTATAATTAGATAACATCGTTGTGCATATTACAACAACTGAGAACATACTCTTGAGAGAAAGATGCCAACAAAACAATATCAAAGTAAAAAAGATATTAAGAAAAACAATATTATATACAGAAAAAAAAATGAAAAAGAACATCAACATAAGTTATTTATAGAAAAAACTGAGTCAGTGCAGTTAGTTGTCAGTTGCATAAAGACTATTAATAAGGGAAGTAGTTAGTAGTTGGGTGGAAAAATATAATTGTATAGTTTTGTAAGGACTACAAACCCTTGTGGGGTATATAGTGGGAACCAGAATAACATATATGTTTTTGCCTAGAATTTATTCTAAACTAACAAATAACAAAATAATATCATTAAAGTTAATAGTATTTTAAACTAGAAAATTCAAATGCCTAGACTCTCGGACTTCCTATTTATAACTACATGAACTTTATATTATATATATCTAGTTGTGTTGTTTGGACTTCAATACTATGAAGTAGAGTGACAATTTGACCTTTCTTACATGGTTTGATCCATGTTCATGATTTTCTTTTAGAAGTAATAATTTGTTAAACAAATAATAACTAGTTTTTTTCTCACTTTTTTGTACCAATTTAATTTTCTTTTATTAATATACGCCTTTAAATCTTATTTTAAGAAATTAAATTAATTTTTTTATTGATAATTTTATATATTGTATTAAACGATTTCTTGATCTTTAATTACTCAATGTTAATAAACTTATAATTAATAATAAATAGTAAAGAATGATTTTCCATAAAACTTAAAACCTGGTAAAAAAGAAGACTCGTATTTATAGTACCCATATATCCATTATAACATATACTTCTCACAAATGTCGTTTCTCTTCTTTTTCTCTTCTTTTCATGTTTGTTTTTTTTTACCGAAGTTACTTTCAATTGGGTGTCTCTTCTATTTATCTCTCAAGCAATTCCTTCTCAGTTTTCTCTCTTAAATCTTAAGATCAATTTTTGAATTTTTTACAAATCGTACTAGATAAAACATAATATAAAATATTTTTTTTATCTAATTATAATATATTTTAGAGTTTATTTTTATTCTATAATCTTTTATTTTTAACATTTTTGATATATTTATGAATAATTCACAATTTATATTGGTCTTATTAATTAAATCTCTTAATTTTTTTCATTTTAGTTACTCCCCTTTAAATTTTATTTTGATTGATTTAGTGATAAATGTGTAAGCGCCTAGATCACTGGGAATAATTTATTTTTGTTATTGTTTCAACTTTAAGTAATCCTCAAATAACGAAAATCATTTAAAACTTTATTCTAATTTAGATACTATTGCAACTAATTTAGATACATTTTTTTTTACAAAAGTTAACAATTAATAAAATTATTAAATATTTGATGTGGTCGTACGGTGATATATGAGAAATATACCTAAAGTTTTATTTCATACATAAAAATTGTTATAGATAAGTATAATATAAAAAATATAAAAGTGTATATTTTGTTTAATATATGAAAACTCAAAAATATGAAATGTTATTATATATTTTATTTAATAACATAATAATAATTATAATATAAAAATATTGATTTAAATATAATAAAATTATAACATATTAAATTATATAATAAAATATATAATAAAATATATAATTTTATATCTATCATATTGTTTTTAAAAGTTAATTAAAATTTTGTAGTGAGATTACCTTAATTTTGACCCTAACCTACTTGAGAAGAGGTTGAAGTTTTTTTTTTACCCTCACTTTTGGAGTTTTCTAAAAAGGGATTTTTTCAATAGTGAATTAAGACTAACTCATGATCTATAGATCAAGTTGACAACTCTACTCCGAAGAGTATTAAGTTTTGCAGGTTTCTAAATATAAGCTTTGTTGGAGTGTAACCTTTTTTTTTTATTTCCCCATTACCTTAAGTTGGAAGGAATCTTCCACTATTTTTTGTTTGTCACTCTAATCTAGTTAGTTTAATTCGTAAAATACAAATGAAAGGGAAATCAATATTGGGCCAATCTTTCCTTATTTTTGGGTATTTTTAATCCAGAGAAATATTATATTGATTGTGAGATTAGGCCCCTACCAAGTTGGATTGACGATTTTAAATTGATTGTTAGTTTTGTTCGGAGTTGAGTTGCAATGTTGATTTTAAATCGATCACTACATAATCCCTACTCAAGCTGGATTGTTGAATTTAAATTAATTGTTTGTTCAGTTTCCAATCAAGCTGGAGTGTCAAGTTTAAATTGATAGTTAGATCAACCCTAGACGAGTAGGAGTGTCAAGTTTAAATTAATCAGTAGATCTATGCCTAGTCGATTTGGAGTGTTGAGTTTAAACTAATCGTTTAATAAGCTCCTAGTCAAGCTAGAATATTAAGTTTAAATTGATCATCGAGTCAATCCACAACCAAACTAGATTATCGAGTTTAAACTGATAATTAAATAAGCTCTCAATTGAGATAGAGTGTCAAAATTTAAATTGATCGATAAATCAATTCAAATTACGTTAGAGTGTCAAATTTAAGTTGGATGTCCATGTAAAATTTTGTAACTAAGACAAAGTTTATAACCAAGTCAAATTTTTTATCTACGTCAAATTTTGTAACCAATTCAAATTTTATAACTAATTTGAATTTATAATTGAGTCAAAATTTGTAACCTAATCAAATTTTATAACAAAAGTTTGGATTTTGTAATCCAATCCAATGTTATAATGACTCCGACTTTAAAATTAAGTCAAAATTTATAACCGAATCAAAATTTGTAGAAAGTTTATCTTAATATTTCTAAGATCAGCTTTCAGTCTCTGGGTGCCACTTTGCAATGTATGAGATCTTGCAAAACTAATTTAAAGTTAAAGATGATTTTTGATTAAAGCTACAAAATCCATGTAACATCCCAAAAATACAGTATAAACTATATGATAGAATAATTACAATTAATCATAATTCAAATCAGTCTTAAAATTTACAAGAGCGTACAGTTCTTGGTCGAACGACCTTTACAAAAGAGTTAACGCTTAAACTATGCAGAATCAGCAGACATGACCGAAGGGTTTACAAAAGGAATTACCGAGCGGCCAAATAAACTCAAAAGGAAAGGTGACCACCTGACACTCAAACTAAACTACTAACCGAAAGTCCTATTGTTCGGTCTTTACTTCTACTTCTACCAAATTTTCTTCTTCTAGCGCCTCTTCCAGCAGCTCGTCTCCTTCTGCTCACATCCACACGGATGATCATTACAACAACAAGGACGGACATACAAAACGAGACAACACAAGAAAACACAAGGTAAGCTTATGTAATTTAATTCAAGTACAAACATACATTTCTCATATTCAAACACATCAAATGCATTTCAACATACGATTCAAATAAGGCCTACTACTAGACTGACTGTCCGGACCGTATGAAATCTGTGTAGCTACGACGTTCGTGCACCCGGGTGATGTAGTAACTGGAATACACTCGGGGAAAGTAAATCGACAGTTGACACGAGGCTAGCCTATATGTCTGAAGTACCCCTAAGACTCGGACAATAAATGAAAGGTAAAAAAAATTGGGTACATATCCTCTACCCTCCTACGTGAGGACGAGTTACTCACGGAAACATCATGATTGAACCGCCATCTAAGCATTACCCGTTCATACTTACGTATGGGGGGGTTCGCAACCGGAATCGCGCGAGACAAGATTACAAATAAGAAACGGGTTTTTGAAAAGAGATTGGGAGTCGCCACATAGTTGTATTTTGCGAAAACTACGAAAAAAAAAAAAAACCATAAAATTGAATTGAAAGCACGGTCCACGGGAAAACCAAAGATTGGGTTCGAGAGTGGGTTACGCGTGGGGAAGAAGGTGGGTTAGCACCCCACAACGCCCTGCCCTAATGCAAGTAGGAACTTTAAATAAGGCCACGGAATTATGACTCGGTTTTCAAAATGTTAATATCCCCTAAAATAAAATTCTAATAAACAAAACATATTTTTTTTTTAGTTTTTGGGGCCCGACAAGGAGTGACCTTGCTCCTACGTATTCTCAGTCAAATGAGAAATCAGGGTTCCGTTAGTCTAGTTAGAGATTTGTTTGGTGTTTGGAAAAAGCATAATGTTGTAATTTTTTGGAGATTTTAGTTTTTAATATTTTCGAGAACAGAAGAAGATAATGAGTACAGGCCAACGCGATACGGTCGCACGAGTCCTCGTACCTTTTAAAACGATATTTAAATAGGTAATTATTATTTTTTTTTTAAAAAAAAAAAAGAGAAATAACGATTATTAAGCACTAGGAAGATGCGGACGATCAAACGAGCACTTCATGACCGTTATTTATTATTTAGAAGACTTGAGATATTGAGTGTTAGGTTTATGCGGACGATTAGCACGAGCACTCGTACCCTCGTTTATATTTACGTAAATAAGAGAAAAAGTATTGAGCACTAGGACGATGCAGAAAGATTCCACACGAGGTTCAACCTTTTAAACGTATTTTTTTAAAATTTATTTAAGAACAGAAAAAGGTTTTAGCACAAAGGACGACGCGAGAGAGGCGGTCCACACGTGTGGCTTAAACCTTCAAAACGTATTTCTTTTGTAATTTATTAAAGAAGAAGAAGAAGAAACGGTTTTAGCAAAAGGACGACGAGAAAGGGGTGAGCGGTCACAACGTGTCTTAACATTCAAACACATTCTTTTGTAAATTTATTTTTTAAAGAAGAAGAAAAGGTTTTTAGGCACAAGGACGACGCGAGCGGTCACACGTGTGCTTAACCTCAAAACTATTTTCTTTTGTTAAATTTATTTAAAGAGAAGAAAAGGTTTTTAGCACAAGGACTACGCGAGCGGGGGGGGGTCACATGTGTGCTTAACCTTTAAAACAAATTTTTGTAATTTTCTATTTTATATATGTATATAAGTAAAATTATTATATATATATTTTGAAATAATTGGATATTTAAAAGAAATAAATAAAATAAAGTAATAAAATAAAAATGAAATGAAATAAGATAAATAACAAGGAAAGGAATAATTAAATAATACTTAAAAATGGGGGTGGTACCAAAATAAAAATAAATAATGTCGAACGGTCGTCTAAAAGCTTGATAACGACGTTCCGGGGTAAAGGCGAACGTACGTTGGGAAAAGATTCAGAGTCACGAGGCGCTCTTGTGGAGGGGGGGGGGGGGAAGTGGGTGACGAAACGTACTTGAGAAAAA